GCTGCAGCAGGGAGCCCGGGGCACCCCCCAGAGAGAGGAGAGGGCGGGGGTTGGGTCGGCGCGCACTGCGTGGCCTCGAGCTGCCTACGCCTGCACTGCAGCGTGCCACGGAAGCAAGCCATGGGAGCCAGAACGGTTTGGAGCCGCACGCAGAGGCCTCGTGCCCCGACGCAGAGAGGAAACCGGGCAGGTTCGCAGCGGGCGCGAGCGACTCTGGCGCCAAGCTCAACGTGGCCCGGGCCCGCTGCATTCAGCCCAGGGGCACTAAGGCTGTGTCTCATTTCAGAACAACGGTTTGGAACCCTCCTCCCACAAGGAACAGCGCCCGGCCCAGGGTAGCGATTCCGAAATCAGGCGTGTGCAGACTCTCCACTGCGGCTATTTCGCAATAGCCCTTCCCAGGGCCACTCCCAGTTCTTCCTGCGGGGGCGTTACATCGGGAGAGCGCGTCTCCATCAGGGGAGCCGGCCTCCGACACATTTTGAGGCTTCCGCGCAGTGTAGACGCGCTATTTCGGAATGGGCTATTTCAGAGGAACTCCGGACTAGCTTATTCTGAAACAACCGTGCAGTGTAGATGTAGCCTAAAAGGCCCCACAGAAAGTGTGAAGGAAACGGGAAGGAAACGGGAAGGATTTCAGGCGAGTGCTACGAGAGTGCGGGTGAAATTGACTAGAGGGCGTTTTGGGAGGCTGGATTAGCCACACAGAGGGCCGCACTTCGGCTGGGGTGCACTGAAGTCAGGTTGCCACAGCTGGCATGTTTGCCGGTGGAATGGCTGGGAACGAAGGGTCGGATAACTGTGGGGAGGGCGGCAAAGCGCAGGCAGAACTGAGCACCATGGAGGGGAGAGGGCAGAGAGACATCGAGGGCTAATTGGTGGGTTCCTTTCCCTGGCGATGAAGAGCCCATCAGAACGGTCCCTGGCCCAGTGAAGGGTCTGTCCCCTCGCCGTTTGCTCCCCCGGTGGCGGATGCAGCGAAATGTCCGTAACCTCCGTCCCGATGTGTGTTGCAGGATTGGCCGCGTGGCGCTGGAAGATGTCTTGCCAGCAACCTCAGCAGCAGTGCAAACAGGCCTGCATGCCGCCCCCGTGCAAAGAGCCGTGTCTTCCGAAAACCACGGAGCCGTGCCCCCAGCAGTGCACGGAGCCATGCCCACAACAGGGCACGGAGCCGTGTCCGCCGAAGTGTGCGGAGCCGCGGCCCGGTCCCCGCAGAGATCCCCGCCTCTCCAGCAGTGCTAGAACAGCAGCGCCACGAATTAACTGCAGCCGCCGGGCGAGGAGACGGCAAATTCCAACGCGCGAGCCGAGTCCCCTCGCTCCCGGCTGCTTTACTGTTGCGCTTCTCGTCTTCCAGCTCAGAACTGGCCTAGCAGCCGGCACCGGCCGCTGGGAGGGGTTTGGCACTGACACAGGTTCACAAGCTGCACAGTTCTGAGGACCTGTGTGTGCGTGTGGCTGGGGCCTGGGGAACAGCTCTGGAAATCCTGGGGCATGACCAAACCCGAGGAAAACGGAGCCCCCATTGGAACAGCTGGAATAAAACCCGAGTGGCCAGATGTTGCTGTCTTGTCGTTTGTGGCGGCCTGAGTTGCTTCAGGGCCGGGGAACCTCTTTTGGGTCGGGGCTGCTGACCCACAGGAAAGTCAGTCGGGGGCTGCACACAAGTGAGAGGAGAAAAAAGCCCCCCTCTCCG